ACTATTACTTATTATTAGTATTATTTTTCGTAGCGTATCGATCAAATCGATCACAACCTTACCTCAAACATTTTACAACTTCTTCATTTTATAAAATGTCTATAAATCGATTGCTCTGATGATAACAGTGACGAAACGTCGCATCAATGAATGACACTGTCATTGTCCTCTCACACCGATGTATTGTGGATCTGAGCGAAAGATGGGAAATCAGGAAATGTAAAATGGATTTATTAGTTAAAAAATGACAACACAAGTTGTACGATAGAAATAAAAATAAAAAAAAAAAGATTTTCCACTTCAGAATCAAGGAAAAGCATAGAATGGAGGAAATAAAGAAAAAGATGTTTCCAGTTTAAAATCAATTGAATCCGAGCTTTCGAGGGGATGGTCACGTGAGCTCGTTCAGGTAAGGTTGGCTAGCTGGCGCGCGATCAGCTCCTCAGTTTCCCGCGGTTTCAAAAATCATCGAACGTCCGACCAATCGGAGGAGAGACCAATGGAATACCTCGAATGATCGCGAACGATTCGAGCAATTGGAACTTGCCGCTGGCTAGATTGTTTTCCCTGTTTCCCATGCGTAGAGCCGGTGGCGATTGAAAAAGGAAAAAGGACATCGCGACGGGATTCCGCCAAAAATGAATTCCGACGTGGTGGAGTACATCGGGCTGAGCGAGCGCTGCCTCGAGAATTCCGACGAGTTCTCACCACCTGAAAGGTAACTTTCTTTCACTTTTGTTATTTCCCAAAAATATCACCCCGAACGTCGTTGATCGGTCGTGTACGAATTATTACCTGTTGCTTATCGGTGATGGCACGTACGTGCCTTGTACTCGCAGGTAAGGTTAGGAACGCGTTTCAGTGGCAAGTCGTCTGAAGATTCCTAGATATCCAAATCGCGAAAAATGTGGCACGAAATAGCACGAAGGGATCAAAATTCGTCCACATTTGCTCGAGAAACACCGAGTTTACGTACGATGGATTCGTTAACGAGAAATGTTTCAGTCACTTTTGTTTCTAATGGTTCCCAGAGAGAGAGAGAGAGAGAGAGAGA